TTATAATTATGAAGATTATGTGCCAATTTATCTTAAATTAATATTCAGCAAGTTTCATCTTTGAGAAATAAATAATTTAATTCAAATCTTAAAACACTTCCACGCTTTAATAAAACAGACAGAGTAATTTAATAGAGATTTGGCTTCATACAGTATCTGACTGTATCTTACATAAACGAATGCAGGACGAGCAGATTTAGCGCCAGAGCAGGAAGTGAGTTTTACTTTATGACTTGCATTAAGCCGCCTGTCAAACTATCATTATAGCACAAACAGTCTTCAAAAGAACAGTTTCAGTTGAGTTTGTCCAAAGAAGCTATAGATAGAAACGTCCCTCATATCGAATATAAAAGAACAAAGTTCCTCATCAAGAGAAGGTAAGTGATGTTTTCTTGAATAAAGTCTAATGCTGCGTTCACACCAGACGCGACAGGCCAGAACAGGAAAACTGATTAAAGCCTGACTGTCAGAAGAAAAGAACGACAAAAAAATCACAGCATAAGGAAAACACACATGGCCCAGACATGAAAGATAAGTCCAACTGAAATGTACTGGTTTGAAATTTGTTGTGGGGGACACGAAAAAGTCGGTAAATTCGTTTCCCTGAACACGAATCAACAGAAGTTTGGTAACTATTTCAGGAATTGCCGTGAGACTGTGTCAGAACACTTACACAGGCCACATTCAGTTGACCTCATTTACAGGACGGTCACAGGTCGGGTGGTGTCTGTGGAACTCGTGGGAATGTGGCATTTTGCCCAAGGGCACATTAGTGAAAATAATCAATGACAACGGATTCCATATTACGGAGAACCTGCCTACTAGAGATGCTAAAGTCACTGTATAGATCTGTAAAACACATTGTGCATTGACTGGATAAATCTGTGATGCGGTTGCTAAGATCCACCCACAGTTTGTTTCTCCTGCTGTACAATTTAAGTATTTTAAGTCTATGAATAGCAATCAGGGAGGACAACAACATGAGACAAAGAAAAAAACCAACAAGTGATACCGCACGACTAAAGTAACGTCACCTTGTTCTCATTTTTATCTCAACTGATGTAAAAATATCGTGCACCGTCTAAATCAGTCTCCTCACAGGATGCAGTCTCGTCGGTGTCAGCGTTGCTTCTTCTTTTCAGCTTTCCTCCGAGCGCTCTGGGTTTTCTCTTTAATACCACGGGGGGAGAGGAGACAGCTTGAGACGCTGACAGATGTGTCACTGAAAAACAAGCGTACCAACACCGCACATGCACAGACCTTTACCGAGCGCCGGCAAACGCCATTAGTGTGACGTGACAGACGGCTCACACCTGCTGCTGCTGCACACAATTAGTAAATGAGATCTTGGCTAGCACTTTTCCTGAGTGTTTGTAGAGGATTGGCAGAGAAGAGAAGCCACGTGGCATCACAGTCAACAGGTTGCCTTCAGTGCTTTAACCTCCGAATACGTTTCCAGCAACTGGTCCATATCATGCATCAGCCATCAACATAAATAAAACATACCGTCACAATATTTTGCACGTGTCGCATTTGAAAGGCGGATAAACTGGATGGAGTGGAGAGATGGAGGAGGAGGCAGTGTGTGCGGAGGCAAATCACATTAAGGCCCGGTTGAGTGAACATATGGACCAATGAAGTAAAAGAGTGACTGGCAGAGGGAATGAATGGATTGATTAGTGGATGGACGGAATGGATGGACTGCTTACTGGACCAGAATTTCAATGCTGTAGCAGTGGAGGTGGATGGACTGTGCTGCCCCCACGGAGGCACTGCTGGTCAGAGGTGCACAGTGTGTTTGTGTGTTTACGCCCGCCTCGACTCCCACCATCATTGAGATTGATGATGATAGATTCTGATCTGTTGGAGTCGTGGAAAAAAAAAAAAAAACACTCTGCATGCAGCTCTGATTTTAACACTTCTACACCAATCGATCTTTGTCAGGCTCAGATAACAGAAGTCTCAAGAATATTCACGTGTTTAGCTCAAAGACTTTTCTCTCTAAAAACTCAGTGTTATTTCACGTTTGTTTGCACTCGTGAGTTCCTGATTCCTGTAATGAACTTTTGATAAATGAGGCATGATGTTGCTTAATAGTATAAAACGTTATATTTTCATATTGAAATGAAATAACTGCTATGCTTTGGTGGCCGACATGACAACAAATGTTTCCAACAGTGGAAACCCAGAGAGATCCACAATTTTATTGAATGCAACAGTGAGTTTAATTTCTGTCTCCTATCAATGCTGTCACGTCCTCTTATCCCACAGCAGCCAAAGGATATGTGAGTGCAGGAGGAGGAAG